GAAGCAGGAGAAGCCAAAACTTCGATTGATTCACATCATGCACAGGTGCATTCTGCTATATTATTATATTGAGAGTCAAAGATAATACTGATTGAGTGATTGATCAATTCATTGATAATAATAAGGTTTCTCAAGCAATGAAAAGATACGTAAAGCTTGGATATGATGTTATTTCTGGAGATGATATCGAATTAGCAGTAAAAGGTATAGCAGGCGTCCGAGTTTCTAATTTGAATCCTAACAGAGATAATGGTAAATTGTAGTTCTAATTAGCAAGCTGTAAAACTTGAAATAAATCTAATATTTATTTTCAATTTAGATAAAGCAAAATTGGGCACAATTATGGGAATATCCAACCTGCAAGAATGGACTTGGCCCACGGACGAAGAAAAAGTAGGATATATTCATGCACGTGCACTACCAGGAATTGGAGAGTGGAAAGAATGGTCACTTGAAAAAATAGAAAAGATTGTTAAAAAGCGAAAAATTGAAAAACCAAATCCTACTTTTACATCTCATACACAATCAATTAAGCAATGGAATATACCAATTTTAAATAAAGAAAGTGAGTTTACCTGTTTCCATATTATTCCTAAATAAAAGTAACATATTTGCTTGTTAGACAAACAAGATCCAACACAGAGTGAATCGGTAGGTGATATTCAATTCTAGAATTTTCGTTATATTCTTTATTATAATCCTATTTGCTATTATGTATTTGTATTACCAATAATAAGCGCCAAGAATATGTGAACCAAATACTTTCTGATCTGACTAACCTGGAAAACAATAGATCATTGGAAACCAAAAGGTATAAATATTAAACAATCACATCTTTATTTGTTGATTGTATTATTTATTTATTTTTTTTTTTGCGTAGTCAACAAATGTTTACCAGTGGATGGGCTCTAAAAGAAAATGAAAAAACTCGTCAGCGTGGACCAGTAAAAAGAATATCTCCCCAAGTAAAGTATCTTTTAGAATCAATGTTCCATACTGGAACAGCAAATCCTCGTCAAAAATTAAATGCACAACAGATGCATGAAGAACTTTTAAAGCGTGCAGAACTTGGAGAAATTGAAGAAAATGACATACCTAAAGTAACTACAATAACAAACTGGATTTCAACTTTTTCACGCAAATGGAAAGAGGCTATGGCTTTGCGTACTTTGGAAGAAAATATGGACTCTGAAAATTCATAATAAATACTTGTAGCAAGTACTTATAAAGAGAGAAATGTAAATAATGTTTAATAAATGTTAAAAATTCGTAAATTGAAAAGGTGAAATTTATGTATTATATATACGTGTACCTCTAAAATCTACAGCTGCTACAAAGAAAAAATTTTTCGTCAAGTCGGTTAAATGAAATTTTTTTTGTCAAACCATATTTTACATTATTGCGTGATCTGGTTGAGCTGTGAATTTGTTTTAGTAATACTTGCCTTATTGCGAATGATAGCAGTTATTTTTATTTAATAAATGATCGACAAATTTTTACCCCAAAATTTAATAGTAATTTTGTGTCGATCTTTCACGGATCATGACTTAATTATTGCTGTTGGCATCCGCCAAGAAAATCTTAATTTTTTTCTGAAGGCTCGTCTAAATGGTAACATAATAGATTCACATTCTCGATCATTAAGAATTGTCATTTGAGCACAATACTTAATCGTAGGGATAATAAGAGCGTTGAATACATATTGCAATTGTTTATCAGAAATCCTCTTATGTTTAATATTATTGATCAACTTTTTAACTTCTGATTTAGCTTGACTAAGCCCGAAATTTTTATCATCGTTGACATTGAACTAAACACCTAATATTCTAATAGATTTACTAGGATTTTTAGGTTTAATATTAATGTATTCTGATCCAAATTTAATCATTAAACTATTCAAATAATTAAATGATTTATCTATTTTTTTCAATAATAATTCAGACTTATCTTTGTTGATTTTAATGTCATTCAAATTATAAAATTCATTTGCTATATCTAATATTGTTTCCAGCTGAAGTTGATTTTTTGCCAATAACATGGTATCGTCCATGTACACTTTTTCTGGAAATATGATCGATTCTTTAATATAATCAGAATAAATATCCTTTTTATATTTCGCTGTAATTTCGTAGCTATGACTTCCTTGTTGTAATTGGCAGAGTTAAAGATCGTAATATATACACCAGAGGAGTGGTGAAATAATCTCTTCCTGGTCTATTCCTGTTAAAACATTATAAGGATTAGTTTTACCAACTGCGGTAAAAACTTGATTTTTTCGGTCTAAGAATAAATCACAAATAATTGAAATGAAATTATTTGGTAATTTCAATCTTTCCATTGCTTTTTTTAACATATGAATGTTAACCCTATCGTACACTTTTGCCATATCGAAAACTAAAATCCATAGTTCTTTTTTATTTTCAATTGCATCCTGTATTATTTCTTTAATTATTTTAATTGGTTCAAAGGTAGAATTACCTTCTAATTCTGCAAATTAATTCCCTCTTAACACATTATTTCCTTTATTTAATATGGATACTAAAAGCTTTCTCATTGTTTCTAATAGGACGATTGGCCGAGTATTCATTAATTTACAAGCCCAAGGTTTCGGTTTAGATATGGGATATAAATCAGCTAGTTTTCACTCTTTTGGAATTTTCTTTAAAGTTAGACATTCATTTAAATAATCTTTAATGTATGTCTTCATTTCTAAACTACTATGTTTAATCATCTCGTATGATACTCTTGACGGACCTGATGCCTTTCCATTCAGAAGTAAGGAAATATGATACTCAATTTCTTCTTATGTTATGTGATTCATAAGACCATCATAAATATTTTCATCAACATAGTTTCTAGGGGAATATTGATCAATCCATATTCCAAACAATATTTTTTCTTGATTTGTGGATCCTGCTATTTGTTGAAAATGATTGTTAACTTCTTTTTTAATTGATTGAGGATCTGTTTTTAAAACATCATCATTATTCTCAGTAACTATTACTCGATCAATGACAATTGATTTTATTTCTCAATTCATGAATGAATTAATCATCTTCTTTTTATTGTTCATTAAATCGTCACATCTTTCTTGTATATAGTTTTTCATTTGAATATTTCTATACTAAATAAGTTCTGTTTTGTATTGTATTATTAACAAATTATTAAATTCTTTGAGTTTTTCAAGATATAAAAAAATATTTGTTGGAGTTATATCACTTGTTAGAACACTACAAACTAACTTAATCTCATCTATTATACTTGTTAATGTTGTTTTTTGTTTATAATTAAGTACTACTTTTTTAACGCTTTCAGATTTTGTGAAAAGGGCTCGTAGGACCCCGGATATCTCCAAAACAGGTCATAAGTCACACTTTCGGCAGATTGGCCCATTTTTCAGGGGCTCAAAAAATCGTTTTTTGTAAATATCTCGGCATCCAGTGGTCCAATTTTGATGAACATTTTTTNTTTTTTAAATTGTAGAGCTAAATGAGGGCTACAAAATAAAAAAAAGTTCATTAAAATTGAATTACTGGATGCTGAGATATTTACAAAAAACGATTTTTTGAGTTTCAGAAAAAAGGGGTGTTTTTGGCCAAAAGTCCATTATGACCTTTATATTAGATATCCGGGGTCCTAGGCTCGTGATTTACTCATGTGATTAATATTAAAGGAATCCTTCTTTTGAGATTTAGAAATTCATTGTAACTTTCTTCTAAGATTCCTAATGAAGCATATATGTTGATAAGATTTCGAATCTTTAAAATGACTTGATTTTTTCCTATTTAACATGATAATTTTCTTTTGTTTAATCAATGTCTCACGTGACTTTTCTTTATCACATGACTGTTGCATCAATTCGATTAATTTTTTCCTAAAATTTATCCATTTTTTATTTAAATCATTAATATTGTTACTTGTTGATTGGGGTTCGTCTATAAAAAGTTTTGCTGTTTTATCTTTATATGTCAACCAAATCTTCATCTGTCATTTCGTCATATGCATATATCATTTTCCATCTTCTTTGTTGTTGGAGCTTAGCTAATTGTTTTAACCCAACAATTTCTTGTGTGAAAAACTGATTTAATATCATTAGATGGTCTGTTTTTATATCATTTGGTCTGTAAAGTTTTTGATTATTTAACTGAAGTGCCAAAAAATGAGACGTCCAAATGTAATCTATCCTTGAAGACGTGGCTTTATTATTACCATTACCATAAAAGGTATGTCTAGAATTTGTTTCAGAAATATCAAATAATAGATTTGTAGTGTCAAACATCAGTATATTTTCTAAGTATTCAAAAATCTGATGTTTTAATTTTATCTGTTATCCTTTTTATTTCCTTTTTAAAAATGAATCATAGTGATTATTTAAATCACCCATCATTATTATTTCATAATTTTTTCTTTTAGCTTCATCTAATAGTCTTTTGATTTCGTTCATATAATCATTTTGAATTGATATTACATGTAAAGATGCTGGCAAATAGCATTGTACAATTCTAATTTTCAAGTGCTCTTTAAATTGGAAATCTAATGTTATGATTCGTCCTTTATATTCCATTATATTAAAGATGTGAGCGTCTAAAGATCTAGATACTATAATTCCAGTTCCAGATCCAACATAGTCTTCATCTTTTAAATTTGTAAAATAAGATATGTAATCGTTCGTAATGTTTTTATATATAAATTTAACTTCAAAATTCTTTAATGAAGTTTTGGAAATGTCTAATATGTTAATTCGCTTTTTCTCTAAAAGGTCTAATATAAATTGACGCTTTTCTATTATTAGGCCTGTACATTAAGAGTAGTTATATTAAGATAGGGTTGTAATTGGAAGCATTTTGTTTTGTTATTTTCAAACAAGTTATTTTTTTGTTTGTTAGTATAAATATTAATTTTTGGGGAGGCAGGATAAAATTTTTTCTTTTATTTCTTTTTTTGAGGTATTTTTTGTTGTACTATTATTAAAAATATATATAAAAAAATTAAGAGGAAGATCAATCTTCCACTATTGCGTTATCTCCATCTTCTAGTCCTGCCGTATTAGAAGACGATGTAATTTTAGATGAAAGGGAGTCGAGTTTTTTCGCGATTTGAGTCAATAAGGTCATATTTTGTTCAATTTTTTCATCAGATTTGGATAATTTAGCTTCGAATTCGTCCATTCCTGAATCAGATGACAATCCAGAATCTTCGATATGAACTCTTTTATTGTTATTGTTGAACGAAGTAGTAGCCTTTTCTTTCGATTTTTGATTATTATTTTTTAAGATTGATTTATGTTGTTGTTGTTATTTTGTCTGTTGTTTATTTCTACAAGCAATAAACTTTTCATGTAATGCTTTATTATCTTTTTGAATTGCTGTGAATTGTCTAAAAATCTGGTTTACCGCATCCTTAATGTACTCAATATCTTGTCGGACTGGGTCGACTGATTTGGATTGACGATGACCATTATTACCCATATATGGGTTGTCGTGGATAATATTTTTTTCATTCCATTCTCTACGATTATTATTAGGATAAGATTGTTGTCTTCTTTTATTATTATTTCCTTCTTTAGTAACATCTGCATATGAAGAGGATTTCTTTTTTTTAAATTGACTAAACGCTTGTGTTCTGTTCAAGTATTTGGGTTTAATTTGTCGTTCTTTGTCGCAATCTTTGGCAATATGTTCAGGAGAGCCGCACACGTGACAAGCTTTTTCGTCTAGGTTAAACCAAAAAAGTATGCTTCTCTTAATGTTTAATTTCAAACTTGCTGCTTCTGTTAGCACATCTTCGTCAGGAAAATACACCATTGCATATTTCAATAAGTTATAATTTTTTGGATTTCTGGGAATAACTACACTTTTAGCGCCAGATCCCTTAAGCAATTCGGTCAATTCTCTTCCTGTAGTACCAAATAGTAAGCCAGTGAGTTTGAGAGCATATCCATATCTATCTTCTCTAGACTCGTCATTTAATAAAAGTGGAATAACTCTGACTGTATGTTATTCTAAATAGCAACTCCATTGGGAGTAAAAACTGTTGATATCATCTTCTCGTTCGTATCTGATATAGGCATGTTGGTACAGACCTTTAACTCTAGTATACAAGTCTTCAATCTTTCCATATTTACTAAATATCGCACGAATTTCGTATGGTTTATAGTTAAGGGGAATATTAAGAACTTGAATCACACACAACTTCTGCACCTCTTTTTCTTTTGTCTTTTCGATTTTATCACTATCATTTTTTATTTGAAATTTTATTGGTTCATCATTTTCCATAAATTTGAATTCAGCGTTAATAAATTTGTTGTATTGATCTTGATTATTGAACTCAATTTGGAAAAGGTTTTCTTTATTTTTTTTCTGATAGATAGTTGTAATCTTCACGATATTATAATCTTTATACAATTGACTTTTAAGGAATTTTATCTTAGTGATCCTATTGTTACCCAGAATCTTATTGAATGGAGCTCTAGCCCTAAAAGACAATTTGCCATTTTGTTGATTATCTAAATCTTCTGAAGGCGGGTTTGAAGCCTGCTTATCATTAGATGATTGTCTAGTAGATTGTTGATTATCAGTTTTATTATTATCGAGATCCATTGATGTTTCATCTTATTGATCATTACCCGAATCATTTGAGGGAAGCGTTTGGAAATGAGGGCCACCTTGCAGCCTTCGTGATGAAACACTAGAGGCTGCCTGTTGGTATATTGATTTATCATAGCTTCGTTATTCGACAACGACCCAAGGACCAGTACTAGATGACCTGATGGTCATAGTATGCTGCCTAGTAGTTTGTTGTTGTTGTTATTTTTGTTGTTTTCTTACATTTCGCTTGCTAAGCACTTCAGTAAAATCTGGCTCATCTTAAGATGTAAAGGTACCGAAACTCTGTTGGGTAGAAACTTTTTGCCCGCCTTCGGTCAAGTTAAAAACATCTTTCCTTCCATCTTTATTATTGTCAGAAAGTTGATTGGAAGGGTTCCTGTTCATTGAACCGCTTATATCAACTGAAAATAAAGTATTTTATTTAATAAAATTTAAATAGATATTCTATCTCATTTTCTACTATATAAATTGTATGGAGTGGGAAAGAGTTTATATCATATGGGCTGATTTGTTTACTCTGCATTAAAAAGAGTTATTGAATTGATTTTCACAATTTTCATTATTCAAAATTTTTTTGTAATACTAAAAAATCATCTGATTAATGATCACTTGACTAAATAATAAGTTGAACAAAAATTTATATTTGCAAAACTTAAATCATTAAATTCACCTTAAATGTCTAACTAAAGGGTAAGGTCCTATAGAGAATGAAGTTCTGAATTCTATATACGTATACTAGCTGTTAGGCATGAAAATGTTTCTCATTTTTATTTGTAATAGTTTTAGCACTACCACTCTTTTAGTAATAAAATTAAATTATTAAATGTAAAAGAGGTGTGAAAAAACCTATTTCACTAATAAAAAACCCATTTCTTATATATATAGAATTTTTAATATATATTATTAAAAAGTAAGTATGGTCCGGTGCAAAAAGATTTATACCTCAAACAGAGGACCGAAAAAAAAATTTTTTATTATGTAAATTTTTTTTATTTATTTAATTATATCAATAACATGTTGGGAAAATCAAAATATGAATATTAGATTAAATAACGCAATCTTCATCAGAATTATCATATTTGTCAAAATCTTCATCCATTAATTGTGCGTTATCATCAAATTCTAAGTATTCCTTAGCATTTTTAAGTGCTCTTCTCCAGAACCCAATGATTACCTGTGATGTAATTTTTTTTTTAAAAGCATTTAAAAGTGTATTTCGAACAGATAAAAGGTTTGGATGTGGGCCTGAATGTGCAACTTCACCCTTCACAACTGACCAAATACCTTCAATTAGCTGAAGTTCACAATGATATGGAGGGGTAAATGAAACTTCATGTTCATACTGTTTTGCAATTTTAACACAAGCAAATGTCACCTTTTCTTTGTTCATTTGAACCAGCTCCAAAAGTTCTGGTCTTCTTAATTCATCAGAAAAAACAATATTGTGAGCATTTAGCCAATCAATTATTTCCTGCTTTTTTGTATTTGAAGTTGGAATATTTTCAACCCGCCGTTTATGATAACTTGCTCCATCCATATGAATATTTACAGGTCCATATTTTTCATAAAGTGCTTTACAAAGAGTTGAAAAAAGGTCTTCAAAAATTTCTGCATTAAAATTTCCATGATAATCTACTTGATTTGGCATAATATTTGCATCTTTGACAACATCGGGAATGTTATCCCATTCATCAGCATTGTTTCTTTTTCGTCCCCGGTTTCCAGGAGGTTTAATTGTTGGGTCCCAAATGTGAACAGAGTTGGGAACAAGTTCACCATGTAGTTTGTTGGAAGATCCATTTCGGAATACAATAATTGCTCCAAAAATTACTACTAATGGACCATGTCCAGGTGCTAAAACAACACCTTGATGGGGAACCCATGTATTGCGTGAAGTATGATGTAAATGACAGTAAGACTCATCAAGAAAGACTTCTGGATGACGTGGAACATCATTTTTTCCTTCTAAATTAGCAAAACGAAATCGAAGATAACGGCAACGGTATGCAACATTATTTGGTGACTCATGGAGAATGTTTCTACGTTCTCCCTGGCCAAAATAATAACCCAAGCGATGTAATACTCGAAGAAGCTTCCATTTAGAAAAATTATATCCTTGTTCTAGAAGATACTGTCGTAGGATAACTGTGGAAAGTTGCTCAGCCTTTTTGTTGGCATCCAAAATTTTTGTACGCAAAAGTTCTGAAACATTTTCATCGGGTTGAAATTTAGGTCTTCCGAGGACTTTATGTGGTGTAAAAGTATCATCACTGCGGTTGTACCAGTCCGACACCACACTTCCAACTGTACCCTCAGCTACACCCAATATCTCAGCAATATGCTTGCGTAATGTTAGCTTATGATGATCATTACTTGTAGAGCTATCCCCCAAAGGATAGTTGTGAATGTTAATTATCATTGATTTTTCGTTATCTGTTAATGGTGCACCATTTCGTTTCAGGAAATGAGAATACATGGTATGGAAAAAAATTTTTGAGAGAATGTGTGTTTGGATATGTTCTAACAAATTCTTGAATATCAGCCCACCTTATTTAAGTCGTACGATATTTTTATTGGCGTAAATCCATCCCTTTTTTGGTGAGGTACAAATCTTTTCGCACCGGACCATATATTTTAATAAAATATAAAGTAAAATAAAAATTTATATAGTCTTGGTAGCTATAAATGTTTATAAAAGTATAATAAAAATATCATATAAAAGATGGTATCATAATAGATATTTTCAAACAATAAAAATAATTATTTTATGTTAGAATTTGTATTACCATCTTTAAATGCAAATATATCAAGATTCACTGATCCATTTTCTATAATTTTAGGCTTGTTGGAAAGCCCTTATTCTGGACTTTATAAGCGAAAAAAGAGCTTACCAATTGAATCATTAAATCTGGAAATATTTATGTTTAAAGTTGAGGTACAAACTTTTTAACATGCTTAATATCTTGGGATTCACTGATCTGTTTTTTATAAATTTAGGCTCTTCAGAAAGTCCTTGATCTGGTCTATATGAGCGAAAAAAGAGCTTGCCAATTGGATCATTGAATCTATCTGGAGATATTTACATTTAAAGTTAAGATACAAATTTTTAATATATATAGTAAATGCTAAGAATTACATTAATTTAAAAGAAATATTTACCAACTTATAGTATAATAACATTAAATAAAAGTTTTTTAATACTCATCCCCAATTTACTGTATATTATATAGTGTTTTGTATAATAAAAATGTAACAAATTTAATATTTTAATTAAAGGTAGACAAATCAGCTCATATGATTAATTAATTATATAAGTTGATTAATTACTAGTCAAATTTAAATATTTATTTAAACTATTTAATAAAATTTTAAAATTTAATCTTTTTCTTTTAAAAACTGAAGTTAAGTTAAAATAAATTTTTTTTTAAAAAAAAATTAATTTTTGTAGAGGTTCCAGTTTTATAACCATATGAAAAATTTTTATACTTAAAATATGTCTAAATACTTTTGAAATATACTTTTAATGTACTTGATTTTGCCTAAGTACTTAAATTATACTTAAAATATACTTAAACTAGAATTTGAGTATAATATAAGTGTATTTTTTACATATTTAAAATATTCAAATATTCTTAAAATTCAATTAAGTATATTTTAAGTATATAAAAAATACACTTATATTATACTTAAATTTTAATTTAAACATATTTTAAAAATATTTTAAATATATAAAAAATACATTTATAATGTGCTTAAATTCTAGTTTAAATATATTCTAAGTATAATTTAAGTATTTAGGCAAAAAAACAAATATATTAAAAGTATATTTTAAAAATTTTAAAAATATTTTAGGCATATTTTAGATATATTATAAGTATATCACAAATTAAAATAGATATTTATTTTAAGTATATTTTAATAAAATTTTAAGTACATTTTAAGTATAAAGATTTTTTATAGAGTAAAGTTTTTAAAAATTTTGAAGTATAAGATAAATAAAATTAGCAATTTTATTTAACTTCAAAGTTTTCTTTTAAAATTTTAAAATTTTACTTATTTTTATTTTTAAAAATTTATTGTTTTAAGAAGTAATCCGCTTAAAAACTACAGAAAATTACTATATAAATTTGTGGAAAAAAATTAAAACCAAAAAAAGGTACTATCTCATGATCTAGTGATTGGATTTCAATGATTTCTTTGCTAATTAGTAGCTAATGGTACCTCTTCAAAATAAAAAAAAGATATTTAAAATTGGACTGATATATCACAAGATAATTGAAACCATAATTTTTTATGGACAGCGGAAGATTTATCTGGAACTTCAGAAGATTTACCTGGAAAAAATCATTTTTTGTGATTATATTGTGATATACCAGTCCAATTTTAAATATCTTTTTTTTGTTTTGAAGAGTGCATTGAAAGCTATAAACTTGAAAAAAGATCATTAAAATCCAATCACCAGATTACAAGATAATGCTTTTTTTTGGTTTTAATTTTTTTCCCTGAATTTATATACAGTCAACTCCCTCTATAATCACTCCCGTTATAGTCACATTCTACTATATAGTCACACCAGTTGAATGTTCAAAACACTTTATTATTAAAAAATATACAATATAGTAACAATATATCTATAGTCACTATCACACCTATCCTCAAAAATCTTATATTAAAAAGAACCATTTATAATCACAGTTATATAAAGAATATATTAAATAATTTGGCATCTAATAATCATACAAAGATGTACCATAGCTTGTTAGAAGCGTCTCACTGAGACGAATTGAATGGTGGTAGTTTTATCCTTTTATGATCACTGGCTGATGAATTATTTGACAAAATGTTAAGCATCAGCATTATTATATTTCTTGATTTACATTTACTGCACCATTTAACATTTTGCTAAATTTCTCGGTATTTAGTGGTTGCAAAAAGACGATTAATAGTTCGTTGGAATCGTCTCATCAAGATGAATCGAATGGTGGTAAGCACATCTATCTGTAATCAATATTGACGGAGTTATTACTTAAAAACCATTTAATATTTTTTAATTTTGAAAATTGATCTAGTGATTGGATTTCAATGTATTTTATATATACCATTAGAACTGTCTTATCAAGATGAATCGAATGGCAGTAAGATCATCTCTCTACTATACAATCAATATTGGCGGAGTTACGATACAATAAAGTTTTAAATATAATTCTAGCCAAAATTATATTAATTTTTGGCCAGAATTATGATATACTAATATAAGAATTTTTTATATAGTCACATCTCTTTATAATTACCAAATATGGACTGTCCCAAATGTGTGACTATAAAGAGAGTTGACTGTATTGCAACATTATATTATGCCCCATGTACCTTAAATTAATGATTGGCCTAGCTTATCAAAAGCTTTTATAATGCCTTAATTATTAATTATCATCAATTTGGAGCATATTGAGATTTTGGGTATTATGCAAATTTGACTGGTTTGCCGATTATTTGCAGATTATTACCAAATTATTTAACCAAATTTTTTAGTGATCCAATTTTTTTAAGGTTTTTTTATAACTAAATTTTCTAGATCATAATTTGTTCTTTAGATAGATATCAAATATTTCCTTAAACTTGTGTAATTTGTTAGTAATCTCAGTAATATGTTTTAAATTATGACAAATAATTCTATTTAAAATCCTTATTTTTCAAACAAATTTACAAAATATCAATTGATTTTTATTAAAATTTCATATAATTTTTAAAGTAAGTATAGGGAACAACTTTACTTATACCATAAAAGATGGGTTAGAAGTTGTATAAGGTGTGACTATATGGAAGTATACTCATCAGATGTAAGTGATTTACTAGTCAATATTTGGAATATTTTAACCCGTATTTTTTATAAGGTGAAAAATATAGCCTTTTACCAAAGCTTTAAAATTACTAAGATTTCTAATACATGTTTTATATATGTGAAATATATCACAATAACTTTATTAATAAACATATAATATTTACATCCATTTAAATTAAAATTATTTTGGTATTATCATCAACAGCATAAAATTTAATAAAAGAAGCACCATAAATTACATTCACTATCATAAATCAATTTTAATTCAAAAGTATGGAAAATGCATAATTAAACTAATAAAATTTTCAATTAGTCTGTCGGCATACTGTTTCTACTAATTCTTTGGCTTCTGAAATAAATAACAAATAGTAAATACTTTCTAAACATACATTCTACGTTTTTTTTTTTAAAAAAAAAATAAAATTATAAAATACCTTGTGCTCGAACATAAACCATACAATAGGGATTTGCTGAAGAACCTGTGGTATCAGCAAAGACCTCATGATCTACTACCTTTCATAAAAAATTATCAAAATAATTTTACAATTAAACACCAGTATTATTTGTTTAAATTAGTAAATTTAAATACCTCTGTTATATATGAATCATTGAACTTTAACCATCGATCCTTTTCAAAATCAAATATGTATATCCAATAATGGCCAAAGTTTGCTTGACCTAACAAATATAATTTATATTAATATATCAATGTAAACTAATAGTCAAACCTACAACTTACCACTATGTATGAAAACAGCATGTAAGCGATATGCGCATTCCTGTAAATCTTGATAATGTTGGCTTAATTGAGACTTTAATTGTGATATTTTGTTATGATATTCTATAATGTAATTCAAAACATATTTTAACGTCGAATTAACCAATGCATTACATGCAAACATCTTATACATCACTTAATTGTAACCTGCCTTCAGATTCTTCTTTAACAAGATTACTTTCTTGTTCCACAGCAACCAATGAATTCTCGTCTATTATGTCATTTTTCATTTCATCATGAATGAAATCGGCAGTCAATTTAAGTAAATCGACCTTAGATAACCTGGTTGTCTTTTTCATGTATGAAAAGCAAACTATTAGAATCTCTATTATATCTATCTGAATATAATTTGGCTCTTTTACCTTATCCTGCTCATAGTCATTAAGTTCCGCTTGCAGTCTATCGATATCCTGTTTCCAATTATGAGCTTCTTGTCGTCTTTGTTTTAACAGTTCATAATTCTTATCTAAGTATCTATCAAGATAAATAACCTTGTCAAACCGAAGAAATGCATTTGATTTATAAATATTGGACGTGGATCGATCAAATTGCACACGCTATAATCAAGGTTAACCAATATGCAATTGGTAAAATTGGTAATGAAAATAAAAGCATTTCTTTCTGTATTGCATTATGATCTACAAAATTACCTCACCTGAACATGGATTTGTAATATAGGAGGTATTTTAGTAATAGTAACTTCTCTTATCACTTGAGTGCCATCATAATCAACCTGAGTGAATTGTATTTAAAATTAAAATCTAATGGCAGGAAGTACCAATAACAAATGATAACGCATAATTAATTCACCAGTGACGCATCAAAATAAACATCCAGTCCATCATAAAGATCACGTCCATCAGCGGCAACTACAATGTTCAAATTTAAATTAAGGTAAAGAATAAATAAAGAAAGAAAAATATGTTTAATTATTTAATTAAAAAAGGATATCAGGTGGTTGAATGATTCTTCTTTTGTCAATAGTTCACCACTATTTTGTTTTTTGTGGAGAATTTGTCTTGTTTGGCCATAAAATAAACTAATAAGATTGAAAACCCAATTGAGCATGTAAAATTTTATATAACAAATAATATAAAATAAAATCGTTACCTCTTGATAATATTTTGTTCATCGCCATTTTCATCAGTCATAGGAAGCGATTTCAATGCAGCTTCGAGTTGAAACATCACATTGTCCATACATTCTACAAACATTCATCAGAAAGAATCTTAGTCTAATAGTTTACCAAACAAATTATATGGACTAATAACTTAAATACCGGTAACATCTTGCTGTCTCCCAAGCAGCATTTCTGAGGCCGCTCTAAGTTTATCTTCTTTGGAGGTGTTATAAAAATCAGATGACAATTCTGGCCCAGTATTTTCTTTTTCCTTTCCCTTTAAAGAATGCGATGTATTTGATTCATTATAAAAATGGTCGGGGACAATTCTATCGTCTACTGAAAGTGCTGTGCCTTCTATTTCTACAGTTACTTCTTCAGATACTGTATAAATATCTGAATTACCATTATCTACGGTCTTGGATGATGACGGACCTGGACTTGAATCATCAATAGCCATCTTGTTGTCATCCATAGGAGATTTTGACGTATCTTTGTATTCATCATCATCATTTTTGGCATTGACAAGAGCCAAATATGCTAAATCTATATCTGGAGAGATAGATCTCTGTGTTGTATGTATTAAATTTACAAATAGTCCTCGCAAAAGATTAACAACTATAATTAATCAAAAAAAAGAAAAAAAAAAGATATAAATAATCAAAAATATATTAAAATATAATATAGTATATTTAAAACAAATGAAATTATAATGTACATTGTTTTGCTCTTTTAACCTCGGATTTTGACACCTTTCTATGACCAATAGTTATAGATTGCCAGTCTAATTCATAGCCATTAGAACCCGATGAATCAGTGGCTAAAACAGCTGTACGTAATTGTCGTATTGTAAAATAATACTAAAATCGAAAAAAAATAATATAAATATATCTAGTATATCTACACAACTACGAACAATAGATCTTAATCAATAAAAACCTGTAACAAAGAGTTGAGATAACATGTATTCCCAATGTTGTCTAACCCCACTGGCCTAATAACATATTACATGATTTAATCGCTATTTGTGTGTTTAAAATCAAAATCGAAAATTATCACTTACATTTCCAAAAGATAATCAGGCATTTCTAAAATAAAATTTATTCATAATTATTATTAATAATAATTTCCAAAGCAAATTTATATAATAATATGAATATTCTCACCGTTTACTGGCCCTTCATTAACAGAACGTAATATTTTTGTACTATTTCTAGCTTTTCCAATAATATTCAAAGCCTCTCGGTATTTTGCTCTTGAAGAAGGATTATCAGTATTCTAGAGAGACGTTATATTAATTTCAAAGTAAAATAAAAAAGAGAAATAGTACAAATGAATATAAGAAATAAGTAATTACTAATACGCTATAAGTATCGATTAGAAATTCGTCGGAAACAGTGGAACCATCAACATCTCCAACGTTTAAACATTTATAAGCTTCTTTGATATCCTCTTCATGAAATCTACCTATAAACATAAACAATTCGTAAAATGATAAATTATTAAGAACACAACCCGAATGATATTAAAGTAGAAAATTATTTACCTTTAGATTTTTCTACGGCGACTAGCTCTTCTAGAGCTTCGCTTTTCCTTTCTTTTGACATTTCATATATAGCCTGCAAGTATTCTGGAGCTTTTTCTGGAACCTCTTGCACTCCTAAATTATATGCCCATATTAAAGTTTGATCATCCATATCAGGAACACATCCTAAGATAAAGCAGCTAGAGTGTAATGAATATCCAGATTCTGGGTCAAAATTCGAACAATCGGCGAAAAGAGCTTTATCTTTAGCATATCCATATGTAAAAATTTTCTTAATTAAAGAAATGGCGCTAAAGGAATTATTCATAATATTTTCAAAAAAAAATCCAATGTTATTTACATGACGTTCCAAGGACATTATTCAACTTTTCATACGGTTTTTTTGCAGAGTATTTCGAATACTTATCTATAGAACAAAATGTATCAATACTACACTAACACATTACTAATATATATTATACATACAGTATATATATATTTCAATGATTAATAAATATCTCATGATAAATAACAAGTCACTCACTCAACTTATAAGATATCATTAATAACTCTTCCCTTGTTAATTTAATGTTCCGCTTCTCATCATCAGACAAAGGAAAATCGGGTGGATTGAGACTGTCGTCTATTAATTTGAACCCAAGCTTTTCAAATAAAGCCTGGCTAGAGTAAAATTGTTTGTCAGAGGGCCGTAATTACTAAATCCTTATCAAACATATAAAGGATAAAGAGATGTACCAACCTCACTTTATCCATCTCAAAATTATTACAGTTGAATTCTAGAGTTTGTAAATCTTCATCAATTATATTACTAAGTATTTTTATCATACTTTCAATGGTATCGATTAAATTTGTTTTATATTCAAATTCAGCATGTTTTATAGCATTCGCGTACGAATGTTTCCTTAATTTACCCAAATCATTAAATAACCTCAAGTCGATAAAAGGTTCTTTAATTTCGATATTCACAGCAAGATTACACACACAACATTTAGCCGATATAGATGTTTTTGTCGTAGTTGTCGTATGAAGGTGATGTAAAGTATTTTCAAACCCGCAATTTGATTGTTCCATTATCGCATTCGGAGTGGTTGTTAAAAAAAACCAATAGTGACATTCTTGACACAAAAATACAGTTTCAACGTCGTTATCGAATTCTATAGATAAATAAAACTCGTGTTGGTGATCCTCTCCAGGATTATAACGTATCAAATCATGAAGCCAAGCAGGAGGCGTTTTTCCAAGTGCTGAAAATTCCATATGTTCGCTTGTATCCATATTATTAGGACGGGGTGGTAATGGAGGTGGATCTTTTAAAATGTTAGTGTACATTTTGAAAGTTATTATATACACAAAATTATTTAACATAAAGGAATCAAATAATAAATAAATTAGTCATATTAAACTTACTTTGTGACATGGCCGGTATTTTCAGAAATTTGATCGTGTTTTTCTAGAGCAAGATAAAATTCAATGTTAACCACTAGTGTATACGTACTGTCATGTGTTTCTGTTCATTTTAACTTCGGACCAGATATGTTTTTACATACATAATTTATGCGGAGTTTTGGCAGAATGTCTCAGTTATTCGAAGAACTCACGCGGTTAATATATTGCTTAGAAGTTTAATCAACATTTATTTATCTTCAGATTTAAAATTTTTGCGTTCACGTGCACTTTAGTACTTAATTATTGATTGGTTTGATCAAAGTTTTGAGCGAATATTTCCCAAAAAATGTTTGAATTTGTTAAAAAATTTTCATTATTAATTAATAAGTTAAATAATGAAGTTATAGTCACTCAACAAAGGAAGAAACTTTATTTTGTGCTTGGAAATGAATCTGCTGGTTAGTCAAATTTCCATGAATAAATTAATTTTATTTTTTAAATTAAAATTTCATTCCGATTATCTTCATACATGTACAGATTTGGATTCGATTATATCGTCGATAGCATATGCATGTCTAAGTCAACAATTAATTTCTCCTGATGAATTGAACTCGTTATCTACTTCATCCTTCCTTATATATTTTCCAATCATTCAAATTCCAAAATCAGATTTTTCATTACGTCCAGAATGTTCTTACGTATTTAGCGAATGTGAGTTTACTGAATCTGACATATCTCAACTACTTTTCTTAGATGATATATTACCTCACTTGGACAAATTATCTTCCAATTATGATGTAAACCTGATTTTAGTGGACCATAATAAATTAATTTCTCCTTGGAGTGAGAAATTTAATGATAAAATAGACACAATCTTGGATCATCATCAAGACGAAAGATTATATCTCAACATCAAGTGTCGTCAAATTGAATTTGTCGGATCTGCTACTTCGCTAGTTGTATTACATTTTAAAGACGTTTGGAAGAAAAAAATTTCCCGAGATGATTTTAGATTAGCCAAACTGTTATTAGCTCCAATTTTAGTAGACACTATATTATTAGACGTGTCAAAAGAAAGAACATCAAACAAAGATAAAGAGGCAGTTCAATTTTTATTAGATATTTTAAACATACCTAAGTCTGATCAAGATTTCTATACAAGTAATTACTTTAATGCAATTCAATCTGCTAAATTCAATATTTCTCATTTGTCAAATATTGACCTGCTGCGTAAAGATTATAAGGAGTGGAATTTAAATAATTTTAATATTGGTATAAGTAGTGTAAATTGGTCTTTAGAGGGTTGGATTCAACGTGAAGATGACAATATTGATAAACTAATTGATTCATTTAAATATTTTAAAGACGAAAAAAAATTGGATATATTTATTATCATGTTGGCATATAACCATAAAAATAAAGGATTTCAACGGGAATTTGTTTTTCTTTCTAACAAAAACAAATTCATTTATGAAGAATTTCTTCAACAATTAGAAGTTAAACTCTCATTGAAACCTTTATTTTCAAATATGGATTACATCCGATTTTATCACCAAGAACGTATAAATTATTCAAGAAAGCAAATTTATATATCAATAAAAGATTTACTTCAACAATATCCCATTAATAAAATTTAAATAAGATGTATTTCTTTACTATATTTTAATTATTAATAAATCATTCAAATAATAATAATTATTTCATTGAGTTGTAATTATATCAATATTGATTATAGAGAAATAATTTTACCACCATTTGATTCATCTTGATAAGAAGAATCTAATATATAAATTTTATTATGATTTAATCATTAGATCAATTTCTGAAATTGTTTTTTGAGCTATAGTTATAACCCTAATACTCTATCAATATCAATTGTAGAAAGATATTTTACTAGCATAGCGGACATCTTTACTTTATCACAATTTTGTCGATCATTTGTCAATCATTTATTCAATTTTATCACTTCATTATAATTACTTCAGTTGAAAATCCTACATAATAATAATTTTACAGACAATTTAACATTCATTTAAATTTACTGCATATTAAATTACCAAAAAAAATTCTTTAAACAGTTAATAAAATTTTACAAATTTTGACTATATGTGTATTTTAATAATATTCATAAACATTTGCTTAATAATAACTTTTTGATTACCTAAAATTCTACATGATTATTTTGGCTATTGATTCTTGAATACCTAAATAATATATTTTGAAAATTTCAAGTTTCGCCCATAAATCTGTGGCTTCGCCCAAAGCTCCAAAGTCAAATTAGCAGATGATCGGCAAATATAGGCAAATATCAAATTATTGAGAATTTCGGTTTAAAGTTAACTTTGACAATATAATTTTTTTTATTTTTCATAAATTATACTACTAATAAAAAGACATTAGTATTGTTTGGCTAAGCATTTTATGGCTTTAACCATAGCTTCAAAATTAATGTGATATGATATATTATATGATTGATGAATGATCAGCAAAGTGATAAAAGCATGTCCGCTATGCTTATTTTACTACTATTTGATTTGTTTATTGAAATGAATCTAATGATATAATCTAATTACTAATTATTTATAATTTTGCATTGAAGTTTGCTATTTACCATCTGGTAGTCAGCATCGGTATCACGTGATCATATATATCATGTGACTTCACAATTTCTTAATGCACAGAAATGAAATTTTTATTACAGTAACACCACTATAAGTGCATTTTATATAAGTGCATTCCTTCTCTATATGCATTCCATAGCTTGGTCCTAAGCTCAGGACTTAGAGCTAAGTGCACTTCCTCTATGTTCTGCATTTGCAAGCAAATTTGAGTCCCGGGTATATTAGAATACCTTCTATAAATGCATTCACGTGACTATTGCAAAATTTTGACCAATCATTGATAACGGTTATTTTTAAATTAATTTAATTTATCAATTTAGAAGTGAAATCATGGAGAACTATATAACAGTAAACTTTTATTTTGTAGTTACAAGCAATTACATTTGACTATAAAATTTATTAGTACTAACTACTATAACATCATCAATTAAATTATAAATAAATTGGAATAAATTACAAGCGTGTGAACATCTTACTTGATCAATTATCCTAAATTAGTATAGCAAGAAGATTTTTTTTTAAGGAGACAGATAGTAGAAAAGATTGAAAAATTTTTTAGGGCCAAAAAAAATAGTTTAATACAACAAACTGACATTAACACATATTTTCACTAAATTTTCGCAAAATATGTTGTTTTATTTGGATTTGAGTTTAATAAAAAAATTTAAACCTGGCAATACTAACATTCCAATTCTTTTTTTTTTATTGTAGGAACCCTCAAGACACTTCAGAACTAATGAAATGTCTCAGAAGGTAAATAAAAAAGGGCATAATTTTTTTAAATTAGGAATATTAGTAGACATTACTAATGTTCAATTTTCAAATTTTTTTTTAGGAATGATTTCGGACTTTGATATGAATTTTGGATCGATAAGTTTCAAAAATTTACTTAAACTTTCAAAACTTTTAATATTTTTTTTTAAAAAATAATAATTTTATTTTATTTCTTTATTTTTTAGGTACATCGGCTCTGATCTTTAAACTTGGACTTTAGATCGGTAATGATAAGTTTTGAAGAGCTTAGCTTCAAAACTTTTTTTTAAAAAAAAAAGATTTTAACTTTTTTTTTTCTTTATTTTTTAGGTACTACCGGTTTCCTTAGATTTGGATCAGTAATGGTAAATTTCGAAAAGTTTCAGTTTGAAACTTTTTTTAATATTTAAAAAAAATATTTAATTTTTTTTCTGTTTTTTTTAAGTACTATCAGCTATTGGTTCTGATCTTTAGAATTGGATCGGTAATGGTAAGTTTTGAAAAGTTTTGTTTTGGAATTTTTTTTTTAATTAAAAAAATATTTATTCTTTTTTCTGTTTTTTTTAAGTACCATTGTCTCTGATCTTAGACTTGGATTTGGATCAGTGAGTTTTGAAAAGTTTCATTTTAAAACTTTTTTTACTGGATTCTAGAAAAGTTTTGAAAGTATAAAAATATAATAATATTAGTATTATAATTTATATATGGAATTATTAAATAATGTACTGATTTTTGTAATTTAATATTTTAATATAAATTCTAAATAATTTTAAATAAAAATGCATTGTTATAAATTAATCGAAAAAGTAATCAATCAGTACACTGACATTTAATCAAAAAGTTATCAATCAGTATACTAATATGCCAAATAGTAAATATCTTATTGGTAACTATTAATACCCGATTGCTTTTTATTGAATATTCTGATTGGTACCTGAATATCCTCCTTTTGTGCTATCTTTTGGCAGCAATCGGGTTTACCGATTGATGAAAATTTTTTAAAAAATAGAGACCAATCGGATGGAATTCGGTCACCTGATTAGTCCCTGATTTGACATGTATTGTTTGACTAGTGTTATCTATGACCTATCTAATGTCCAAAAATTATACAAAATAAAAGAAAAAAAAAATTAAAAATTAAAAAACAATTTTTTTTTTAATAAAAAAAGAAGTTTCTTTAAAATTTTTAAATAAAATGAAACTTTAAAACTTATGTATCAAATTAAATAAAAAAAGTTTAAAAAAGATTATTATATATACATGTAATAATTTTTACCAACTTTGAAAATAATATTCAGAAAGTCATGTGTTGAAATTTCAGCTGAAACTTTACATAAACTGAATTTTGACTGAAATTTAACCAAAAGTCATATGACCGAAATTTTTGATTTTGACTAGTATTTAGTTTCAATTTCACCAATAAAATAAGATTCCTGTCAATGTTAAAAAGGTTTTTTTTACATAAAAGTATATTTATATTTAAATATTACCTTAAAAGTAAACATTATCTTAATAATATCTAATAATTCAGAAAATTAAGTAATGCTATCTGAGATATAATCCATCAACACAATGCATTACATAAAAATTAAAATCTTTTTTTACATAAATGGATGTATGAGAAAATATTAAGTACTAATGAAAAAACAGAATGTTTACAGAACTGAATACTCACTTACTATATACTAAAATACTAAATGTTTCAATATTTCTAATTTTTTTTTTATTAATTTCTCATACTTGTAGCATTAGTTATAATTTGAGGAGTCCAAGTTGTATTGCTATTAAAATTAAAAGTATACTACAGTTTAATTAGCCAGATAGCTGAGAAAAAGGACAAACTTTTAAACTACTTACACTTCAAGATTTTTTCTATCATTTTTTTATTATCATGATTGCATGCATTTCCAACAACCTCTCCAAATTCTACAGGATGATCAGAGCTATTTACTTTAATTAATAATAATATATTGTAAACCAACCAATTACATATTTTTCTCCTAACAATCGCTTTAAATTTTTTTGTGCTTTTTGATCTGGATTCTTAATTTCACCTCTGGCTAGTCATAAAATTTTATATTAATATTTTAAAAATATCTTTTCAGAAGATAGGAAATAAAGATAATAAAATATGACTTACATCATCATATTAATAGTATTATTAATATCTAAAAAAATATCTTCTATAATACGATTAATGATTCTGTTATGATATACAAATTCTGATAAGCTTTTATTATGAAGTAGATTAACTGGGAGTCTGAAATATAATAAACTATTTTCAAATATTAGGTTATATCATTTAGATGTTACAGTTGGCCAAACACTCAAATAATAAGTTCATAGTAATTTACAAAACTTTGTATACTGATTGAATCTATTCATGCAGTTAATCTCAGCTAAAACTATAGGTTGTTGAATCTATACTTATCAGCAGAATTGAATTTTTGAATTATGACAGACATAATTAGGGCTCTGATCAGTTCGATTCAGTACAGTTTTTGCCAAAACCGAAACTGAACCGAATTGATCGGTAATAGTATTGCTAATTACCGAAACTGATCAGTTTCGGTAATCATAAATACCGTTACCGACCAGTAATTACCGAAAACTGAACTGATTTACCGATTCATTATCAGTTCAGTTTTAAAAACGTTTTGCAACGTTTTTATTAAATTATCATAAAACTGTTACAAAACGTTTTTTTAAATAAATTAATTGCTGATCCACATGGGTGCGGCTGTTCAATGTATCACACACTTGATTGGCCAATCTATATAATTACGGCAAATTTTTTTTTTTTATTCTTGGAAATGGAGACGGATAAGTGTCTCCAAAATTAATTTTTTTTTGTTTTTTTTATGTAAGAACATTTATTAATGTTCTTTTACTTCCTTTTTTTTATAGATTTTGGCCAGAACTTAGAAATGGAGACCAGTGAGTATTTTTAAAAGGAGAAAGCGAGTTTTTTTTGAGGGTTTCTTATGTAAGAACATTTATTAACGTTCTTTTACTTTTTTCCTTTTTGTAGATTTCAACCTGGAAGCTTGAAAATGAGGATCAGTAAGTGTTTTTAAAGGGGAAAGCAGGAGAAGGTTTTTTGTTTTTCTTTATGTAAAAACATTTATTAACGTTCTTTTACTTTTTTTTTTGTAGATTTCGGCCTAGAGACCGGTGGTGAGTATTTTCAAAGAAGGGAAGCAGACTTTTTAATCTTTCTTTATGTAACAACATTTATTAACGTTCTTTTATTTCTATTTTTTTGTAGATTTCAGCCCGGAACTCAAATAGGGATCGGTGAGTATTTTTAAAAAAGGGAAATGGGGGTTTTTTTATTTTATTTATGCAAGAACGTTTATTAACGTTCTTTTACTACTTTTTTTTGTAGATTTTAACCCAGAATCTGGAAATAGAGACCGGTGGTGAGTATTTTCAAAGGGGAGAAGCGATTTTTTAATTTTTCTTTATGTAAGAACGCTTATTAACGTTCTTTTATTTCTATTTTTTTTGTAGATTTCAATCCAGAACTCAAATAGGGACCGGTGAATATTTTCAAAGGGGAGAAGCGATTTTTTAATTTTTCTTTATGTAAGAACGTTTATTAACGTTCTTTTACTTTTTTTTGTAGGTCTAATTAAATTTTAATAAAATTTAATTTAATACTAATAAAAAATGGCTTTAATATATTAAAACCGTCATAAACAAATTACACTATTTATCAAAATAAATTACGTTTATAAAAATAAATTGCCTGTCAAAATACATTCGCAACGTGAAAAGTTTGGCAAATCGGTTTGGTAAATTTACCAAAATGATTAGTAAAATCTACCGAAACTGACTGGTAAAATCTTCTGAAATGATCGGTAAAATCTACCAAAATGATCAGTAAAATTTACCGAAACTGATACTGAAAGTATCAGTTCGGTAATTCAGTTTGGTAAATCGCAAAACCGATACCGAAACTGAAATTACCAAAACTGATCGGTAAATTTACTGAAAGGTTTGGTTCAGTAAATCAGAATACCAAAACCGTTCCAATACCAAAACTGATCAGTTCAGTTCAGTTTGGTAATTACTGAAACCGATCAGAGCTCTAGACATAATTAAAATGCCATAATTCACTGCCATAATATTTTGACATTGACTTTTTAATTCTACTGAGAAGTATAGTTGAATTAATTAGAGCATTTTTATTAAAATTGAGAGCTATGTGATCTAAATTCCAAATTAATATAATAGTTAAACATTGCCTCACTAATCATATTATTGTATATTTCTAAAAGTTCTCCTATATTTTCATTTATACCACTATTTAATAGGACAAATAGGATAAATCATTTTGAAAAAAAAAATTAATAATTATATCAGTTTTTCTGATAATAATACAATTAATTAAACAAACCTTAAACCAATCTATTTCTAGTTTAATCTATTCTTCCTGACTAAGTTTTGATTTGATTGGGTCAAGATTATTCTCTTCTGATAAAAATACTATCTTGTAGTGTGAAATTCCAGTTCTAATATTCATGACTTTATTAATTATTGAAATTTCTTCATTGACATTTTCTTTGTTGTCCTATTAAAAAGAAAAAAATTTTCATTAATAATAAAATTCATTAAGTAGTAGTATTTTTATTAGTATATAAATAAACATAAGTTTCTTTATAATAAGAAAGGTAACTGATTCCTTCTCCAAAATCAATAGTCCTTATTTAAAGAAACTTCTTTAATTGATCCTGCGAAATCATTTCTTATGGCATACATAGGTGCTTCATAAAAATGTTTTTGTGGACATAAACTAACCACTGATAGGCGATTGATCTTGTGGAATTACCTTGCATCTAAGATGAATTCACAAAAACAACAAAAGTGTTTTAATTATAACTGGAAGATATACCTATTTTGTTTGCATTGGGTTCCCATCTTACTTTACGACAAGTACTTAGTTTGCTTGAAAAGTTACTCATAATTTTTTCCTAAAAAAACAAATCATATTCAATTTCAAAAATCACACGAAAAAACAAGACTTTAGTTTTATTGATACATGATATTTACATGATTATAAATATAATAAATATAGCAAATAATATCAGCAATAAACAGGAATAGTATCAACGTGAACAGGAGTAATATTAACATGATTAAATTGAAGAAGTACGAGACCAAATATTTGTAATCATTCACGTTTAGTTCTGTAAGAGCTTTGGTATATTTTAGGTGCTTTATCAGTTTGTTGATATATTTGATATATTGTATTTTTAGAAATAAGAAGCTGCTATTGCATAGCAAGTAGCAAAACAAAATGATGAGTATTTATAAGTTATCATGAATATTTATTAAAAGTTACAGTTACTCAAATTTTTAGTCATACGGTTGACTGTATTTGACTAGTATCATGATGATCGTAAACATATAAAGTTTGCTTAGTAATCAAAATAAAACACCTAAGAAAAATCACATAAGGTAAATTTTTTTACACAGAGTCACTAATTTGCCCTTGAGGCCATAAGGTATTAAAATCACGAATAATACCCTCTATCTTTCAGAATTCAGGAGTTCAGGGATTCTTTTTATTATTTTCAAAACGGCCTTTAACTACATTCTTTTTCATGTAAAATTCACCTGTAAGGATTTATGAATTTTGTTATGATCTTTTGATAAGGAGAGTAAAAACGTTCACTAATGTTCTTTACTAGTTCTTTTTATTTTAAAGGACAACTTCCTTTAGGGATAGAAAAGTTCCACTACTGAGCGGTTTGAGCACAGTTTGAAACTGAGAATGAAGTCAGAACTGAAAACCCAGAAAGAATGTATCAATAGAAAAGATAATAGTAATATGTCAATAGAACACGTTATGTTAAACGATAAACTAATCACATGATAATAGTCTAAACACGTGACATTTGAGGACTAGCGATATATCGCCGTAAGTATCGCCGTAGCGATAAAAAAAAAAATCCTTTATTAAAAGCTAATTTAAAAATTTAAATATGAATACATAATAATTTTACAGTTTTACAGTGCAATTTCAATTATAAATTCCTTAATTACTCTCACTAAGAATCCTTTTACTTTAGTTTCAACTATAATTCATCAATTTTTCTCACTAAGGATTCTTCTTTTACAATTATGCAAATCATGACCTGTACCCCCACATTCTTTACACTCTTATTATTTCCATTAACCTCTAAGTTGCCTTCAGTTTTCTTTTGTTTCTTATTCTGTCTTAAAGTTTCTCCTTCACTTAAGTATCGACCTAGGGGGTCATTCACGCCATCTTAAAGTTACTGTATTAGAACATTCAATATTTTCTTGTTGATTTCCTGTAATACTTTCATCAGTTGTTTGATTACAAAGTAATTCTTGTTGCTTTTCATTAATATATGTTTGAAGTAATCCATTCAACTCATTATAATAATCTAATTTTTGTGTTAAGTCCAAAGTCTTTTTTGCAAAACCAAATGCTTTTTCCATATTTTAATTTTGCCAAAATGATTCCTTGAAGCTTTTCTGTATAAACTTGTTTACCACGAACATGATGAATATAATTAAAATTGATTTCTTCACGAACTACTGCTTTTGCAATTGTGATATATAAATGTTACTTCTCATTCTCTTTTCTTTACTGTAAACAAAAAAGAAATATTTTTGGATATTTAATAAAAATAACTTTGTTCTATAGTGTTTTGATATAAAATAAAAAATTAATTTTGAAAAATAAGTACATACCGTATCATTTTTTCCGCAAAAAATTCTTTTTATACTCTTGTAAAAGAAAAAAAAATACAACGCTTTAATTTTCAAGAAAAGAATGTTTGTCGTACATACTCCGTAATTTTTTGCGTCACAATTGTCACGATTGTCACGTTTTCCGAACTATAACAGATAACACCGAAATCAAATGACTGCGTCGGTTTGCTATGGAGACTACGACCGAACTATCTGAATATCACGTAGAAATTTTAAAGGATTTCTTAAATGTAAAAAAAAAAAAATTTGCTTGTTTTTCCGCGTCGCGTTAGCGCTTATTTATTGTTTATTCATAATAGGACTTTCAACTCTCAAGTACATTTAGTAGTACAAATAACGTTTCCGAGAAATTCAAATATCAACAACTAATTTTAAAAAGATTATCTATTATAACAAATGCACTGAGGAGTTGCTATCAGGAAGATTTTCGCATTGCTAATAACGAATGTGCAATAAAATTTTGCAAACTTCTTTCTAAAAATCAACTTATTCTAGTGTAATAACTATTATATAATACTACAACTTGCGGGAAAGTTATCGTGATTTATTATTATTTACTAATTATTAATTAATTTAGGCACAATATCTCATTCATAATGATAATTTTATTGTATACTTGACAAAAAAACTTTTGACGCTATGGTTATTATTAATATCTAACGAGAAGGTGTGTAATAATTTAAATGATTAAAAAAAGTGTTATTCAATTATTTACTTTTAATTACAATTTGTTTTTATCCAAAAAAAAAGCCAATAGTAGACAATATCAATATAGAAGAGACTCAGAGACAATTATTAAAAAAAATATGCGATTTATACAATGATAAGCTGAAAGACATGTCTTCCTCTGCTACTATTGAATCAGTACTGGAAATATTTCATTGCATATTGAAAGATTTTCGACATTGTTTATCAGAAGTAATTGATGAAGATGCTGAAAATATTTTATCACAACATGCGGGTTGTCGATTGTTAAACGTACTCAATGAACAGTTTAAAGTGGAACAGATCACAAATATTGCTGATACGAGTAATAACTTGATCATCGTTCCGATTCTCACTGTCATACTGGATATTAAAAAACTTGAAATTTATGAAATAGAGGTTGCATTAGATTCTTATTTAGTGAAGATCTTTCAGAGTTTTTTAGAAAAAGTAGATTCAAAGATTGAATCAATATGTGTCTTATTGTGCTGTGGATATTTACCTGCTATAAGAAAAGTCTTGAACATTCTATATCAAACAGTGAAATCTACAAGTAACATTGATATGGTAAGAAAACAATTACTTTTTAGATGTTAAAATATCATTTAAATGAAACTACATGGTCTTATTCTTTTTTTTCTATTAATAGATATTTACAATTCTAACTAGTATAAGAGATTATACTGGGCAAATTTTGGCTGCTTCTGATGTTCAAAAGCTTAATGGCTGTCCTACGCTTGATAATGATTACACCGAATTTTTCGACAGGCAAAAAGATAACAATAAGGTTGTTTCTAACGTTTCTATCAATATTGAATGTACGAAGAAGTTAATTGACATTTATATGGAAGTTTATACTAATATTATGAAATTACTCATGGAAAATAATATAAATATGATTGGGATTAACATTTCAGCTGATATAAAACTTCGTATTTTAACGAATATTTTATCATTCAGTCATGGTAAGTTTATCATTATAAATTAATAAATTAATTTTAATTAATTATTTAATAATTTATCCTTTGTTTATTAGAATTATTGCAAAACGAAAATTCAGTTGAATATTTATTCAACTGGTACACTAATAATGATAGTGATCTAACTTTTTTTATGTTGAACTTTGTACGGTTAGAACTTACATTTAGAGAATTTAAAAAGAAATTAATCAATTTTGATGGAGAATCCCAAAAAAGAACTATAAAGTAAATTTTGATTAATTTATATATTTTGGTTATTTAGCAAATACCTAAATTTTGATTATTTTGTAGATCGGTAATGGAGAGTGTCTCATTACAAATGAATCATATCTTAAACCATTTTACTTCGCATGATTTTTTCTTAAGATTTTTAATTTCAACTGGATTTAATCATTCGATATTATTGGATTTTATAATTTCAAATGAAACAAATTTTTTAGAATTTCTTTTAAAATATTGCAAATATCTTGAACAAGATATTTCTCAATTTTTTATTATATGTAAAAAATTTGACAAAAAAAATTCAGAAATGGAGAATTGTGCTGAACAAGTACTAAGAGTTTTTAATTGTTTGATTCAATCAATACAATCATTAATGGAAAAAAAATTGTTTCCTTATAATGCCACTTCTTTAATTAAAAGATTAAAGAAAGTTGAATTATGCTTAAAAGAGGTAATATATAACAATTAAATTTGTTTAATAAAATATTAAAAAATTTAAACTCTTATAATTATAATAAAATTTATAATTACAACAATTTCAATAATTTTAATATATAAAAATCCATTAATTAATTAGTAAACTAATATATTAATAATTTACTTTAAACAATAAAATTTTTTGTATTGTAGTAATTACCACTTAATTTTAGACAAAATTACAACTTGGCTAGAATTTAAAATGCCAGTTTATAATTTTAGCCAAAGCCAAAATTAAAAAATACCGATAATCAAAATAATCTATCAGGTTACCAAATTGGCTTAAATTTTTCAGATTAAATAAAAAAATTAGTAAATTAATAAATTTTCAAGTAAATACTATTTTATATTATTTTTTTTTTTAAAGAAATGTTTTTAATGTTTTTTTTAAAAATGTAATATGTAATTAATAATTCTACTTTATATTGTAGTAATAGTAAAAGTTGCAACATATTACTACTTTTAAAGTCAAAGTATTATAATATTATAACACTTATATATGATTTTTCAAAAATTTCCTTTTTTGAAAAATAAAAATTATAAAAAAAGTTTTTGTAAAATAGGTATCATTATAAAAAGAAATATTTGATATATATGTTGTACCTCAGATTGATTCTTACCTCAGCTGATAGCTGACACACCTTAGATTAAAATCATCATCTGATGCATCTCATTTGAATCATATAAATTTAATCTACTATAAATAAACTTTTTCCTATTAATTAAATTGCCTTCATATTATAAGTAAATATATTTGTCACAATAATGTATACATATTCTGAAATTTTTATACAATTTTAATTCCTATTAAATATACAATGCAAATATTATTTGGAAAATTTGCATTATAAACACATTTTTAAATGAAGATTTCAAAAGCAATCATGAATCCAATTGATCTAAAATTTTAGGATTGAATATTTGAAAATACAGCAAATAAGTTTTATTAATAATTAAATGTACATTAGATTAGAAAATTTAATGCTTAATTATAATCAAATTTTTATTATAAAGTGAGGCACGTCAGATGGCAATTTTGATCTGAGGTGCGTCAGTCAGCTGAGGCAAGAATCAATTTGAGGCACAACATATATACTATAATATATATTGGTATAGTCAACTCTCTATAAATGCACGTCCCTTAGGACCAGACATAGACAGGACCCCGGATAATTATAATTGAGGTCATATCTTACTATGTTTTAAACTTTATATTTCTTTTAACATGTAATTTTATTAAGTTAATATTATTTTTTACTATAGAAAAAAATGTTTCTTTTGAAGAGAAGAATCTTTTGATACCAAAATCTTGTAAATCTACTGATTAGAATTTGAGATAAGTATCATTACACAGGCAAAATTTGGCAAAAAAATATACACTTTTTCACTATCGGTATACATAGAAATATACAAAAAAAATAAAAATTACTATTATTAAATATTACTTTTTAAGTAACAAAATTATAGATAATAGGAGGGCAATTATTATTACAAAGTTTTGTATCTATAGCTTTAAAAGTAAGTTCAGGAACTCCTAAAGTTTTATATTTTTTATTTAATAACTTTAGAGTGTAATTTCACTACTTTAGTCAAATGAAATCAATTTCTTTTATTAATTAAAAGTTGTTCAACAGAGCCAAAACTACTTGTATATTATTTTTTATAAGTGTAGGTATAATACATATAAAGAAACCCATATTTTTCATAATAGTACTAACTTTCAAAATTGTTTTTTCATTTATTAACTTCAGAGCGTAATTTTACTACTTTAGCCAAATGAAACCGACTTTCTAAATTAATTGAAAATTGTTCAGCAAGGTCGAAACTACTTGTATATTAATTTTCATGGGTGTAGGTATAATACATATGGAGAAATCTACATTTTTCATAACGGTACTAACTTTCGAATTTTTTTTTTTCTGTTTATTAACTTCAGCGCGTAATTTCACCACTTTAGTCAAATGAAATTTACTTCCTTTATTAATTGAAAGTTGTTTAGCAGTATAAAATCTACTTAATACTTGTAGGATTTATCCATTTTTTATAATAATACTAAATTATGAATTATTGTATAATATATTATTATATCTAAACTATATATTTTATATAAATATTTTTATTAATAAAATTATTATTTTTTTTAAAACAAAACAATTTAAATTTTAATAAATTATGTAATATAGGTGAACTTTACCTTGGGTGAATTTCACCACTGGTGAGCGTTAAAATCATTCATTTTTAAAATAAAAAGCTTATTTTATTTATTATTTTCGGATGCCAAACAAATCTTATCAAAAGAAATTGTAAATTTTAGCGAAAGTTGAAAAGTAACAATTTTGTATTAATCGAAGTGGTATTGCTATAATAACAATATCGCTACAGAATTTAAATATACAAGGAATATTTTTGATTTTACTGCAAATTTCGATAAAGTATAATTTGCTGCATTAAAGTATATCAAATTTTAACGCAGTAGAACGCTAATGATTTTCTTATTATTATTAATTGATTTGACTTTTTAATTATGATTTATAGTTGATTTTCCAATCGAGAAATCAACACAGTAGAACACTAACAATTTTCTTATTATTAATTGATTTATCTTTTTTAATTATAATTATAGTTGATTTTTCAATCGAGAAATCAATGCAGTAGAACGCTAACAATTTTCTTATTATTAATTGATTTGTCTTTTTTAATTATGATTTATAGTTGATTTTCCAATCGAGAAATCAACGCAGTAGAACGCTAACAATTTTCTTATTATTAATTGATTGGCTTTTTTAATTATGATTTATAGTTAATTTTTTACTAATGCTTTTAATTTAAAAATAATACCCTCCCTCCCCCTCCTTATTTATTTATCTTCTGAAACATTTTGTCAGTTCTGAAGCGTCTTGAAGATTCCTACAATAAAAAAAAAGAAAATGGAACGTTAGTAAATGATACTAACATCCATAATTTAAAAATAATACACTCCCCTACCTTCTTTATTTACCTTCTGAGACGTTTCGTCAATTTCCAAGCGTCTTGAGAGTCCTATAATAAAAAAAAAAAGAAAATGGAATGTTAGTAAATGGCACTAATGTCTATTATTTAAAAATCCCACTTCTCCTTCTTTAATTACCTTCTGAGACGTTCTGTTAGTTTTGTGTTTAGAAGATTAATAAAAAAATTTTTTTTTATTTAAATTTTATAAAAAAAAATATCATGATCTGATAATCTGTTGTTCATCAGACTTATCAGATTATGTGATCTATCTGATATGATAACATCAAACGGAATAATGTCAAAATAGCAGAATCGATTCTATAAAAAATTTTACTATTATTTCTGTAAAAATGAGTCTTTTACAGATCTATTCATGGAAAATATAAATAATTTGGTAAATTCCATAATATAAGGTAAAATCAAAAAATCAGAACAAACGTTCTGATAAATTTTTGCATACACAGATATGCAATTAAAGTTTTAAAGTCGAAACTTTAGAATTCAGTATCCAAGTCGGAACTGATTTCTCTAAAAAAAAAGAAAAAAAATGTTATTTAAAGCATTAAAATAGCATTTTTTTTTAAGTTTTAAGTTTTAAAGTTTCATAACGAAACTTTGAAACATTAGGATTCCAGTATTCAAGTCAGAATCGTTTCCCTACAAAAAGAGAAAAAAAATGTTAAAAAAACATTTTTTTTTAAATTTTAAAATAACGAAGTAATAAAACGTTACTTTGAAATATTGGGATTCCAGTATCCTGATTTCCCTAAAAAAAAATAAAAAAAAATAATAAAAAAAAATTTTTAAAATGTTACTTTGAAATATTGGAATTCCGGTATCCAAATCAGAACCATTTCCCTACAAAAAAGAAAAAAAACATTAAAATAACATTTTTTTTTAATAGTTTCAAAAAAATTATTCAAAACTAACCTATGTCAAGTCAGAACTGATTCCTTACAAAAGAAATAAAAAAACGTTAAAATAATGTTTTTTTTAAAAAAATATTTCAAAGTTTCAAAGAAAGAAACTTTAAAACTTTAGGATTTCAATTTCCAACTTCAGAACTGATTTCCCTATAATAAAATAAAAAAAAAGTTTCAAATTGAAACTTTCTTTTTGGGATCAGTTTTCAACTTCAGAACTGTTTTCTTACAATAAAATAAAAAAAAATGTTTATTAATGTTTTTTAATAGTTTTGAAATTTTTTTTTCAAAACTAACTTATGGGATTCAGTATTCAACTTGGAGCTGATTCCCTATAACAAAATATTAGAAAAAAACGTTAAAACCATTTTTTTAATAGTTTCAAAAAATAATTTTTTGAAACTAACCTATGGGATTTGGGATTCGTTGTAATCAATTCCCTATAATTTTAATAGTTTTGAAAAAAATTCTTCAAAACTAACCTATGGGATTTGTTATCAAACTTTGGAATTGATTCTTTACCATAAAATGTTAAAAAAAACTTTTATAGGATTCCGGTATCTAAATCAAAACCAATTTCCTAAAAAAAAAAATTTTTTTAAAGTTTCAAAAGTAAATGTTCGAAAAAAATGTTAGTGTAAATTTCAATAATATAAAATAGTTTAATTTTAGTTAAAGAAAAATATATAGTTTATCAATAGTCTAATTAAAAAACAATAGAAATCAATTGGTAAATTTAAACTGAACAATAGTTATCAATCGGATATTGACCTGATTGATACCCGATTGAAGTGTACATCAATTTCTAACTATTGAATAAATCAAGTAACCAATCAAAAAAAAGTTACCAATCGGGTAAATACCCGATTAGTCAGCATTTTACCTGTGTAAGTTTCATTTTGAACAACATTTCAAACCCATTTTTTTTCCATTTTGTAGGTTTCAGCTTTGGTTTTTAAATATTGGATAGGTAAGTTTATTTTGAATAATATTTCAACACAGGTTGAAAAGTGAAAAACCAGGCATCAATCAGTCATCACTCACCAATCAGTCACCAATTAGTTACCAATTAGTTACCTAATTGGTGACCGATTGGTAACTGATTGATGCCTGATTTTTCACTTTTCGACCTATGCAAAACTGTTTTTTTTAAAAA